TTTTTTTTTTTTTTAAGAAATGCAAATTGCATTAAATGAATCAAACCAAATAAGCCTAGATACAATCTAGTGAGAGTTAACCACCACTCCACTTTCCTTCTTTACAAGATGAACAAAAGAAGAAGGAAGTCAACTCTCACAAAAAAAGTCCCAAATGAAATCAAAGGAAAAAAGCAAGGTTAGCACAACAATCGGCTACCTTATTACATCTCCTATCAACATAATGAAAAATAACATTATTCCAATTATTTAAGTAAGAGAAATCTTCATCTTCAATGCTTCCACCTAATTCCTTCTCTTTGCTATACATATTTTGAAGAAATTTATTTTTTAGATAGAGTTTAGATCATATATAAATAAGAATCGACCAAGCTTTTGTACTTGACCAAGTAAGTACATTTAACATCAATAATTACTATTAGGTTTATAAATGAAACTAAAATTTAGACTTTACATGCAATGACACCAATAAGGGTTCCTACCTAACCTGGAACCAAATCATTCCATTATACATTAATAGTTGTTGTTGGCTTTATAAATGAAATTATAATTTAGACCTTACATGCAAGAACTACGTTAAGGGTTCCTATCCAAACTAGAAAAAAATAAGTACTTTGGAAATCTATAGTTATTATTAGCTTTATAAATAAAAATGGCTGTTAAACTTTACATGAAATGACACTAATAAGGGTTCTTACCTGACCTATGACAAAATCAGTACATTATACATCTATAATTATTATTGGGTTTATGAAAGAAACTAAAATTTGACTTTACATGAAAAAACATTGATAAGGGTTCCTATTTGACTTAGGACCAATTTATTACATTAGAAATTTGTAGTTGTTATTAGGTTTATGAATAAAATTTGAATTTAGACTTTACATGCGATGACACCAACAAGGATTCCTACCTGACCTAGGACTAAATTAGTATATTGGACATTTATAGTTTTTATTGGGTTTTTGAATAAAATTTGAATGTGGACTTTACATGCAGAAATATGATAAGTGTTCCTACTATACCCAAGCCCATATCAGTATATTGGACATCTATAGTTGTTGTTGGGTTTATAAATGAAAATAAAATTTAGACTTTACATATAATTACAATGACAAGGGTTCCTACCCAACCTAGGATTGAATTAACACATTGAACATTTATAATTATTGAATTTATAAATTAATTCAGAATTTAGACTTTATATGTAATGATACTGACAAGGTTTCCTACCTATCCTAAGACCAAATTAGTACGTTGGATATCTATAGTTGTTAGATTTACAAATAAAATTAGAATTTAGACTTTACACACAATGAAACTGACAAGGGTTCCTACTAGACTTATGACCAAATTAGTACGTATGACATCTATAGTTGTTGATCCATACATAAATAAAGATATAGTAAACACAAATAATTTATTAAACCTCTACATATTTAAAAAGTTTATATTTTTTTAGAGATGGTGGAGTCTATCCATCAGAGTCACCAAAAAAATCTAGTGAACAAATTTTATTGGCACGCATGAATTTTTGTTTTAATATTTCTTTGTTCAAATCTAGACAGCATAACATCTATTTACTCGAAAGACAAACTGATGCTTGACTATCATTTTGAAAATAAATATTGGTTTTATTTTCATATTCATACATAACATAAGAAATTTTAAATTCATCTTGAAAGATAAAAGAAATGTTCACTTATCATTTTGAATATGGAACTAACCAATGTATAAATCAAAGTCTACGTCCACATGATTCTTGCCTTATCTTAAAGACTAAGATGAACTTTTTTTATTTGGTTATATAATCCCTATAAAAGAAAGCCCCTATAATTAATTACATCTCAAGATAAGTCTGCAGATAACTCTTAATTAAAGTGAAGACTAGACTTTTTAAATTGATAATGATTTAAAGAAATGTTTAGGTTTAAATTAACCAAATAAAAGATCTAGACTTTTGTTTTTAAATATTTTTAAACTTTAAATTTAAGATGATTGGATAGCCCTCATAGGGACAAAATAAACTTAGGGGTGTTTATAATTTGAATTTATGTCTATGTAGAGGTAACTACCAAATAACATCCTAAACACCAACCAATGTATTATTAATGCAAGATAAGATAGCTCGATTCAGTAGGAATCAATGAGATTTAGCTAAGAATCTTTAATCAAGACTCCTTGATATGAAAATACATCTAAATAGTGCAATGCAATGATAGATGAAAGTAATATATAAATAAAACTTTATTTCTTTATAATGTAAGCAAAGTATAACCTAGGGTGTGCTGTAAAGTAAAGGTGGCTAGGCTCCACAACAACAAGCTTAAATTTTTACTCCTATATAATATAGATTTAAATATGATTACTTACTATAGTCTCTAAATCTTTGAGCTCCTAGATCTTGTATAAGATTCCTAAAGACAATGATCTTCGAAGAAAGAAGAATCATTTCCTTTTGGAACATCTAAATGAATATAAGTAATCCCTTCAAATCTTTTCACAACTCTTTACAATTTACATCTCAATCTATATATATAAGAAATTTACAACTTTAAATTTATTAACATCAACACCTAGTTACATTCTACTTTCTATAAAAAAAGAGCAATATATAAAAAGAATGCATAATTGCAATGCATGTGTATAAAGTGAATATGACCTAAGAGCATAATACGATTTAAAGATCCTAAGGTGTGCCAACAAGAATAATAACACATGACCTTTAGAGGTCAAAAATTTAACACACAAAAAATGAATATCCTCTAGGCAAGGTACTCAAAACAATCCAAAACAAACCACCAGCCTAGCTTAAGCTAGAATCAAATGTTCTATCAAACCATATAAAGTATGTTTAAAAAGCAATGTAGTTTAGATAAGTCCTAAGTTTATTTTTTTTAAGTTGTCTACCATATTTTTTTTATTTATTTAAAGTCAAAGGGATTTTATTTACTTTAAGTTTATATGTTTGAAAATTTAATGATTTATTTAAACAACATATTTTAGGGATTGAATTGTTCAATTTAAGTTTTAAAGAACATGGCACTCAGTAACTTTCAGGTTCTTTGTGCTATTGAATAGTAAGTCCTATGCACATATTTGTAATGCATTTGATACAACCTAATGGATAAAATCCAATATACATAGTACTTTATTTTATTTAAGTATTTTAATTAATGATTGAAAGATATTTATTCTAAAGAATATGTTAATTGAAAAACTTCAAATTTTTTTGAAATTCTCAACTTCACAACCTAAACCTTCTGAATCTAGTACATGGGTGCCTTCCAAATGGAATCAAGCATATGTATAAATGAATTTTAAATTTAGTTTAAGTACTTATTAAGTGAATTGGTGTTTTAATTTTTAATTGAAGTTATTCATATTGATTTGGATATATTTATAATATTTTAATTATTAGTCTAATTAATTATTTGATTTGACATAGATTTTAAATATTTAATTTTGATTTAAAACTCTATGATGTTTATTTATTTATTTTTATTTAATTTATTTAATTGATTTATTTAAATTTTTTATATTTCTTTAAATATATTAAATTTATCAAGTTATTTAAAATCTCTTCTTCATATATGGAATTTGGGTTGAGTTTTTTAAAAAATCGACTAACCTCAAATATTCAAGGGATTGATACCATTGGTTAGGTATAACACATGGATCCATCCCTAAAAGTTCAGCCCTTTACTACTTAGAAGAGCTACAAAAACAAAAGTCCAAAGATAACCTAAGAGCCGAACTTGACCACTAAGCATGAATACATATTGACCTAATAACATGCTAAAAAAATCAAAATTAACAAAAAATAGACAAAAAAAGGAATATGAAATAGCATGGTGTTGCCAACTAAAAAAGTACTATTAGCTTTAAGCTCAGTGTTAGCACCAAAAAAGAATTCCTGCAGAGAATGATGAGCGGTTGGTACACCTCTATTAAGCTTATGCCAAGAGCTCGAAAAACCATTATACCATCCAAAAGAAAACTCCAAGTTAACCTGCAAGATAATACTACATTGAAACTGAACTCAAAAAGACATTAAGAAGATAATAGAAATAAAAAAAATAGTAGAATTAATTCTGCCAATAATCCAATGCTTAATATCCAAAAATAAAGCATGATCCCGCCTCGGCAACAAATAAATGTGCAAATAATTAACACTTCAACTATTACAATTATAAACTGCACACATCACATAAAAACAGCAGGGCGAAAAATATAGTATAACAATAATAAATAATTCCACTAAGGTTACTCGGGTTCCCACGACCAAGAGCAAAAAAAGCAGCATAGATATAAATATAGCAAGAGCAACTTTGCTAAAAATTTTCACCACGAAGGATGCAATGCCATCAGAGAATTCATTTGCCATCTTATTAGAAAATACATTAACTCCCCTTATTAAAAATTGTCATCGTACTTGTCTTTTCTCCCAAAAGCAAATGCCATCATATTAGAAAATACATTAACTCCACTTAACAGACACATTTTAGGTTCGGTACTCACAGTACCAAGCAGTACTGAGCTCAGTACCGAGTAAGAGGTGATCCGACACATTTTCATTGGACTCCGAAGGGACCGGACCTAATAATTTGCCCTGAGTGGTTGTAAGAAAAAGAAATTGTGTATATATGATAAAAAAATAATTTATAAATTAATATCTTCTAAATTTGTCCAGCAATATTAAAAATTTAGCGGGCCAGGCCGGTCCATGTGAGTGGGCCGAGCAGTTTTCCAATCAATAGTTTTGTAAAGACGAATAATGGCCGATGAACAGAATCATTTTTTTTTTTTTTTTGGTAATTTTTAGAATCAAATTATTACAGTGACATGTGAACCTTAAGGATCGTCAAAATATTTGTCAGATATTCGCATTAATCGATCGAGTATGGACTTAATCGATTGTGCTGTAAACATGATAACTTCTCCACTCACATAGCCAAACTCTTCACCCAGATTCATGACAAAGGTAATGAAACCATCTTTCGGTTCTATCGAGGTATACACCACTTTGATATAAAGTTGAACTGATAATGGAGTACTGATATTGCAAAGTAGTATAAAGGTAACAGCTTTTAGGCTCACACTTTATTTGCTGCAAGATCACTAAGGGGCTACTTCGGCAAAATTCTGGCGGGAACTCAGCCATGGGGGATGGCCCCCGGCGGGATGGTGGAAACGCACAAAACTAGGGCACCATGCAAACCCTAGCAGAGCAAAAACTCAAGCTTCTTCTCACGTTGTTTCTTTCACATGATGAGGATAAAGATAATGGAGCATGAACTATTCCTTCTTTTGGGAAAAGTTCCCTCACAGGAAAAATTTTGAAATGCTTCATTACTCCTTCCCTTTGTGCTTCATCTCGTAATGTTCATCATTACACCGATCGCTCGTTGCCTTACCCCCTGGGCGGCCTCATCGTACTGCTAGATTGCAGTCACGCAATTAGCCTGACATCATCCCGCACCCTGCTGACTGTTCTCTGGTCCGACGGCAACCGGTGGCGTTTCCTGTGGCTTCCTTCGGGCCCCTGAGCTTTTCTTGCTATGACTTACTCTTTGCCTGCAGTTGTCAGTTCGAGCCACACCTGAGGCCGATTGGGACCGCCTCACATTTTTTTTAGTTTGTTTTGTTGTCTTTTAAATATATTTTGTTATAACTTTCAATTTACTTTATAAAGTTTTTTTTGTTCTTTGTAACCTCTTTTATTAATATACCCGTCAGTGACCCAGATGGGTGATCATTCTCATTCTCTATCCTTTCCCTCACCAACTAGCAACTGGTCCATTGCAGGGACAGCATTTGCAAAACACTTCAGTGACCCAGATGGGTGATCGTTCTCATTCTTAGCCTCAACAACTTGATATGGTGCAGAACTTCCCCCAGCAGCTCACGGTTCCTCATAGCCAGCATCAGCAGCAGAGAGGAGGGCTTGGAAATGTTGGTAGTATGGCTCAGGTTAAGTTGGAGATGCAAATTGGCTCTAGTGATCAGAGTTTCTCTGGACAGCAATTGCAAACCATGCGAAGTATTGATCCTGTTAAAATGGAGCCTCAACAGCTACAGTCTGTGCGAAGTTTAGTTCCAGTGAAGTTGGAGCATCAACATACAGATTCTTCAATGTACTTGCAGCAACATCAACAACAACATTCACAGCAGCAATTGTTTCAAATGTCAAGATCGACGCACCATGCTGCTAATGCTACCACACAAATGAACCTACTGCAACAGCAAAGGTTATTACAACTCCAACAACAACAACAACTTTTTAAGGTGCATCCTCAATGGGCACAACTGCAACAACAGCTGCAGCATGGTCTTCCAATCCGACCTCAAATGAAAACCACAACGTATGAGCCTGGAATGTGTGAAAGGCATTTGACCCAGTACATGTATAACCAGCAACTCAGACCAGAAGTAGGTTAACATTATCATTTATAAATTCTATTTTCTGGTTTATACTTTAGGAGTAATGTTTAGTATGCTGATTATATGATTGAGTGGTTGTTTGTGCTGAATAGCCTTTTCTGAGGTGAATTATTATTTATTTACTCTATCACATCCATATATCGTGCCAAGAATCTAATCAATATCTCTGCTATTATATCCAGGATAACAATATTGAATTTGAGGAATTTTTTCAAAGAATTCTTTTGTTTGGATTATACGATTAGGATCATATAATACGATCTACTCAATGTTGACTTAGAGCTTTAGATATTCTTGTCCAAATGAGGTTTGTTAGAATAAGCTTTCAATTTATTTGGACTGTACCATTACGATTGTATAATAATTATTACATATCCACTCTAATTCAACTTCTCTATCTTAGTTTCCAAAATTTGTAAATATTAATATAACAAATAAAAGCATTAATGCAGTCCAATGCCACTGATTATAATTTAATAATTTTGATTTAATTAGTTATGCATTTTAGGTTTTGGATTTTCAATGGGAAAATGAATTCTAATATGGGTAAAATTAAATCATAAGGTTCATCATGTCACTAAATAATCTAGGTTTAAGTTTCATCCAAATTTTATATCAAGGGAATTTCCTATAGTTTTCCTAAGTTCACTAGACTCAACCATAAGTTATGTTTTCTTAGGTGTCTCTACTATTAAATTATATTCATAATCAAGAGTGTCTAACCCTTACATGTATGTAAACATTCCATAAAAAATGGTGACCTTATTCTATATAGATTGGATGTGACAAACTCCTAAAAAATAAGGTCAAATAATTACCTATATGTTTAAAATTTTAATAAGAGAGCCTAGGGACATCAACTTATCGAAGGAAACTTAAGGGATGCTGGAAACATCTACCATTCTTCCCTATCCAAAGTTGAGCCTAAGATGACTCATGGTTAGTGAGTATTAATTAAAAAATAATACAGCTTCAAGTGAAGATTACTTTCTGACCATGCATCAAAAGGTTCTGGAATTATTTTTAAAATGAAGAGGACATCACATTGGTTTCATAGTGTATTTATTTATAAAAAAATTGATCAAGAAATGAAGCAAGGGAGATTTTCTAAAGTTTTATAAAATATTTTTGATGATAACAAATATTATGGCTCACATCCTATTTACTTATATTTACAATATATTTTTATATGTGTACGTAGAGTGTACGTAGAAACTTTTTAGAAGCACCATGCACTATAAAATGAAGATTCAAGGCTCAAGATTGGGTAGAATAGATTATGTTATAATGATTTTTGTAATATTCATTGATATATTTTTTTATTTCTTGAGTCAAGTCTTGTAAGGGTGTATGCTTTCTTGATAACCATATATGCACACACTCAGGGGGAGTGAGATTGAGTCAAAACTAGAAGTTCAATTTTTCAACTAATTATACTATACAATTTATAACGTATTATATGATCAACTCTATTAACTAATCATACTAGATGATTTATATCGTCTAGAATGATCAGTTATGATCATGTAAAATAGCTGTTAATTATAATTTAGGCAAGATTTTGAATTTCATATTTTATTCTAATAATCCAAGATGATGTTCATCATACTGGATGATCTATAATAATCATGCCTAAATTGATCATATGATTAGGTGACTAATTATGGTTAATTTATTCAATTTAATAATCTAGGATGATTAGTGAAGATCGTACTGGATGACTAAAAAGGTACATGGGATGATACTTGAACGTCCTAGTTGAAATTGAAGTTTGTTAGGGTTATTAAGCCCCCGTCAACTAGCCTAAAGATAACTAAGAGGGAGAGGGGGGAGGGGGTGAATTGGTATTTAAAAAATTTTTCATTCAAAAACATAATCTTAAAACAAACCAAAATTCACCATAAGGAAATCGAAGTATGAAAATTAAATGCAAAAAAATAGTAAGAAAGAACACATAAATTTATAGTGGTTCGGTTAACTCAACCTATGTCTAGGAGCCTCTCCTCCAAGTATTACACTAAACTAACTAACTCTCCTTTTGCTCTCACAGCAAGGCAGAGAAGCCTGTATAGACCTCCTTTCCACCCACCCTAGTGAGGCAAAGAACCCACTCCTTTTGCATCCTCCTGAAGTAGGAAGAGAACCCAACCTCTTTTGCTTCCTCCTATAATAGGTAGAGAACCTTGATCAGTTGATAAAATAGATATCTCTCAAACCTCCAAGGAACCATGGATGACGATCGGAGAAGATGAATCGGATCCTTTCTTGGAGCAACCTTTATGAAACCCCTCACAAACTTCCCCTCACAAGATCCTCTCTCTCTCTATCTCCCAACCTCTCCCTCTCCTCTTGGCTCTCTCAGGTGAAGATATCAGTAAAAAATACAATCTTGGGTAAATAAGAGGTCTTAAATAAAAGAGCTTCATATTTGCTCTTGATTGCAACAAACTGACATAATCATCCAGAATGATATACGGATCGTCTCGTATGATTAGTTCAAATCATTGAGTATCATCCATAACATTGCCCTGAATCTTTGTCTGGATGATAAAAACTAAATTAATCATCTAGGATGATTTCATGATCGGCTCGGATGATTAGTTCAAAACCTCAATTATCATCCAGAATATCGCCCTGTTTGCATGTCTAGATGATTAAAAAATAACTGATCATCCCTGATAGTTTGTGATCATCCAGAACATTATTCTGTTCATTCAAGAAGAAACTAAGATTTCTTTAACTGATCGTCCCAGATGATCCTGCGATCGTCATGGATGATATGATCGTGTAATCAAACCTTAATTGCTTTTCTTAATTACCAAACTAATTTAGTCTTAATTATAATGCATCATCCAGGACGTTGTCCTAGATGATGTCCAAAAATAAAACATGCCTAAATAGATCTGGAAGCTAATTCTTTTTTATTTGAGGCTATCATCCTGGACGATGATAATATCGTATAGGATGAACTGCTTAATTGCAGTTGCCTTAACCAGGATGCCCTAAATAAGGTTTATGTTTTTAACTGATTATCCATAACAACTTTGGAATCATCCTAGACAATATGATTAAAAATAGAAAACTTTAAAATAGTCAGAATTTTTCCCTGAGGGTGTGTGCGCAAGGTTACTAAGCATCAAGATCCATAAATTACAATTAACTCAAGAAAACGTAAAAAATACTTAATAATAGTTTACATACTAACTCAATCCCAAACTACCCAATCTTGAGCTGGCTTGATTTGTAATTGGCTTTATGGACCTAAAATGTTAGTAGACAAGGAAGTCATAGAAAAACAGAAGTGTCAGAAATTTTTGTTATCATAAAAATTATGATTCCTGAGTCCAGATCCATAATAATCTCCCCCTTTTTGATGATGGCAAACAAAAAAAAATTAAGCAGTTTAATTGAAACATCAAGAAGTTCAAAATTTATTTAAAATAAAATACTAAATAGAAAGCAGTATAACATAAAACACCATAAAAAAACAAACTACATGTAGGATGGCCCTTGATTATCAGAAGGTTGTGGTGGTGGATGAAAGAGACTAGAAAAAGTAGCAAACTACTCCCTAAACTAGGCCATGTGATGTCGTGCTACTGCTGTTGGTGAGCGATGTATGAATCAAAATAAGTAACATCCTCTACATATTGATGCTCTTATACAACAACATAGAAGTCAAACAAAGTCTCCCACTTATCAAACCGCTCCACCAGCTGATCCAGCTGTGAGTGGTGGCAGAGCGGAGCAGGTGTAGGAATAAGTGTAGGAGCCGCCTCCTCCTCATCTCCCTCAGCTTCCTCATGCTCTGGGTGGAGTGAATACTGTGAAGAATGTGGAAAGATATGTTGGTGTAGAAGGTGGGATGGAAGTTTGGTGGGGCAGGATATTGAAGGTTGTATTTGGATTCTAGGATATAAGTTATGATGTGTCCTAAGGCAAGATTTAGATTCCTTCTATATCATGTACTTCTAATGCTCATGAGATGCTCAATGTAGTAGAAATTGAGATCAGTAGCATTGAATTCACGGTGGGTCATGATATAGAAAGTGGTGATTGAAAGGAGTGGAGTAATATGGATGCGAACACCAGCTTTCGGAAGAACTGCGGTACAAAGGATATGTTGGATTGTCCTAGCATCTTTGAGTGAGCTACTAGACTCCCCAACATGATAGGAGATAGTAGTGTTTCTAAGAAAGTGATTAGCAGGATCCCAATTATAATCAGAGTTTTAAGACAAGATGTGAAGCTTGTCACCAGTGGTGGATAATTATAGGAGCTCATGACAATCTTGATACGTGATCTCAACATGATGCTTATTGACAAATGATTGAAGTGCAATGAAGGAGGTGTTGATTCGGAGGCTTGCAAAAAACTTGAAAAGCAGTTCAGAATTGAAAGGAATTGTATGTGGAAGGATAAAAGTCAGAGAGGTGGCATAAAAAGGTCGAGAATAGGGTATAAAAGTGTATGTGGGTTGATAGTCTGGGATAAGGTATTCCTGGCTGTCTTTTAATATAAATAGGCAGCTTGGTCGATCGCCTCAGTGAAATGAGGGTCAAGGTTGGCCCTCGAGGTACTTCCAGCAGGCATACGAGATCGCTTGTAACTAGCCATAAACACAAAAATTAGAGCAAGAGTAAGAGCAAATTTGAATGGAGAAGGTTTGGATAGGAAAAATTATTTAAGAGCCTCAGTTTATAAAGAAATGGACTAATCATCCAGGTCGATCGCAGAATCATCTAGGATGATCAGGTGAAATTATTGCATCTAAGACGATTAGTAAAAAAAGGCGGTAATATCATCCAAGAAGATTAGACATCATCCAGGATGATTAGAAATAGGCGGTCATTTTGAGGAGTCATATCGGATGACCATTGAAAAGTATATCATCCAAGATAAATGGGTGAATCATCCGTGATGATATGTAATAATGGATCGTACCAGCCAAATTTAAAATGTGTGTAGAATTTTGCCACATGTATCATCCAGGACGAACAAGTGGATCATCTAGGACGTTCACCAATATATTAGCATAAATTGAGAAGATCATCCAAGATGGGGAGGATCGTCCCATACGATTATAAAT